TCCTTTCTACTCGATTCCTGGTACATCCTACAATGTAACGAAGTCAGATCTTCTGCATATTGATCCTTTCGATGAGGAGATAGAGGCTCCAGACCCATCTACGCCACCTGATCCTTCAGCTCATGACATACCCACTTCTTCGGAGAGTTGCTTGCCTCCTCCTGCTCTTGAGTCTGCCCCTTCGACTGTTGAAATTGAAGATCCACCTCCACCACCACCCCTCAGGAGGTTTACTCATCCTATCAAGTCCACCAAGCTTCCAGATTTTGCTTACTCTACATACTCAGGACCATTTGTTGCATTTATAGTGAGCATCCATCATCTGTCTGAACTTGAACTGTATAGAGAAGTTGTTTTAGATCCTATTTAGCAGAATGATATGGCTGAGGAACTCACTACTCTTCATCAGACTTATACATGGGATTTGGTTTCCCTTCCTCCTGGGAAACATATGATAGGTTGTCATTGGGTGTACAAGACAAAAAAAAAGTTGATGGGTCTGTTGAGCGGTACAAGGCTACACTTGTAGCAAAAGGGTATTCCCAATAATACGGTTTTGACTATGAGGAGACCTTTGCCCTAGTCGCAAAGATAACGACAATCCGTATTATGATTGTAGTTGCAACGGCTCCATAGTGGAAGATCTTTCAAATGGATGTCAAGAATGCATTTTTGAATGGTGGCCTCCATGAAGAGGTTTATATGTCTCCTCCCCTAGGAATTCAGCACCAATCGGGTGAGGTTTGTCGGTTTCGCAAAGCTTTGTATGGACTCAAGCAAGCACCTCGTGCTTGGTTTGAGAAATTCTCCCCAGTGATTACCTCTCTTGGATTTGTCCAGAGTAATCATGATTCAGCTTTGTTTGTTAGATGCTTAAGTGCAGGACAGATTCTTTTGTCCTTATATGTGGATGTCATGATTATTACTGGTGATGCCCATGGTGGTATTCAGTCTTTGAAGCATGATCTAGCTCATCGATTTGCTACGAAAGATTTGGGCTTGCTGCGTTATTTATTGTGTATTGAGGTAGCTCAGTCTAAGAAAGGGTATCTTCTTTCTCAAACTAAATATATATTTGACTTGTTTACATGGGCAGGCCTTTCTGACAATCGGACTGTTAATACTCCTCTTGAAACCAATGCACGGTACTCTCCTACTGATGGTGTTCCTTTGTCCGATCTGAATCTTTATCGCACTGTTGTGGGAAGTTTGGTTTATCTCCCAGTTACTCGTCCGAAGATTGCTCATGTTGTTCATGTTGTCAGTCAGTTTGTTACTCCTCCTACCTTTGTTTTTTGGGGAGCTGTACTCCGTATTCTGAGATATCTTCATAGCCACTCAGTTTCAAACCCTCTTGTTTCCCTCGACGTCTTCTCTTGAGTTACGTGCCTATAGTGATGCTGATTAGGATGGCGATCGTCACGATCGTAAATCCACCACCGGATTTTGCGTATTTCCTGGAGAGTCTCTCATTTCATGGAAGAGCAAGAAACATGACATTGTCTCTAGATCTTCCATGAAGGCTAAATATCGTGCTATGGCTGTAACTACATGTGAGATGATCTGGTTACGGTGGCTGCTTGCGGATATGGGAGTTCAGAATTCTTCACCTACTCCCCTGCATTATGATAACAAAAGTGCGATACAAATTGTGAAGAAGTCTGTTTTCCATGAGCAGACGAAGCACATTGAGATTGATTATCACTTTACCCGTCATCACTTACAGCTCGGAACCATATCACTTCCGTTTGTTTCATCAACCTTGCAGTTTGCAGATATTTTTATGAAGGCTCTATCGGCTTCTCAGTTTCGGTTCTTGTGTGAAAAACTCTCAATGCTTATTGATGTGACATTGTGAGTTTGAGAGGGGATGTTAGCCTATATATTTTTAGCCCCACATGTTTGTGGGCCCTTAGTCTTTTATCCTTTTAGGATTTTGTCTTGCTAGTATTTATTATCCGCTTTATTCTTTGTAACCTTTATGCTTTTCATTGAGAATCTTATAATTGCTCTCTATCATAATCATAGGACAATGTTATCAGTTTTAAAGACCTCAAAGCTTGACAAAATTTTCAGAAGACACCATAGTGGAATAACTAAAAAATGGAGTTTGAAACTAGTTTAAGTTGTCTTTATGCTTGCAATTTAATGTTTTTTTCTATTTTATTTTAGTTGTTTTTTTTTTAAATTATGTAATGTTTTTTTTTAAATTATGTAATTTTTTTAGTTTAATAAAAATCTAGTTAAAAAAACATGTTTTGTATTGTATTTGGATTTTGTATGTATTTTTGAATTAAGTTTAATTAAAAAAATGAGGTGGAATGGTATAATATATAGTGGTGGGTATTCCATAGCTTTAGTGGTGGTTAGTGGTGATAATGTAGCACCAACCACTATAATGGTTAATGATGGGTACAACGAATTGTCTAAATGGAAAATATCATGTGATGCATTTACTATTTACGATATGTGTCAACTGTCCGGATCTACCAAATTTTGTAAAAATATATGATTGATGATTAGGTTTTCTTACTATTGAAATTATAAATGATATGAAATTAATTTGTCTAATGCATATGGTGAATTATGTAAGTAATGTGCATCGATTGATGCTTTGATACTCTATTAGAATTGAAGTGGGTTTGTTATTTTATTGCTTCATTTAAAAGCTACACAGGTTTATGTGATACACTTTCTGAATGGATTTGGTTTTTTATTTCTTTCGTTATGTTGTGTTCTACCATTTGTTTATACGTTTTGTTAATTTACTTTTTTTACCCTAAAACTTCTTTTACATATGCTCATACCGTTCTTGGATTATCGTTTGGTTATTCAGATCTTTTGTCATTTTATTCTCCTCCCATCCTATATTGATTGCTCAATTATAAATAAAATCACTATTGATTTCATACGATTTTAGTCTCATCTGATTCAGGTATGAATTACATATCAATTGCTTAATGTTGTTTAACTGATCATCGATTTAAATAAAATGACTAATAAATTTGGTGATTGAACGATTTCTTATTGCCTAACAAGTGTTTGGCTAAATGTCTGAGAGATAATATGGAGAGACCTAAATTTGACAAGATGCTAAATGATATGACTGCTGATTTCAGGAGACTAAATTTGACAAGGTAATTTTTCTATTTCATTATGTTACATTAGTATCAATACCTCTATGATGAGCCTAATATTTTCATTTGCAAAATGTGTCGCTTCCTATGCAAAAAAATATATTGCCGGATATCATCATAGGTAAAACCATGAATTCGTTTTTTATAACGACTCGAAATGCATATATTTGCAAAATGAAAATTTAAAAAATTAGGTTAGTATTTGACCTGCTATAATTGCGATAGAATGGAATTAAATGACAAAAGTTCTCTTTTGTTGTTTGATGGAATGGGATAGATGTTATTTTTTATTAATATCATCGAATCGAATGATATATTTCAATACAATCCATTTTTATTTATTTGATTTTCTAATGAAAAAAATATTTAAAAAAAATCCACGTAATTTTAGTTATGTCACAATCTTATTTTTAAAAAAGTAACTAGAAAACTTATTTTTCATTGTAACCTTATTTGGATTTGTTGAGGTTTTAATCTGGTTAACATTTTTGTATCTTTGTAAATAATAAATTCATTGATTATAACTAATTAATGTATACAACAGAATTAAATCATACAATTTACATATAATATGAGAAATTTGTATAAGAACAAATTTAATTACTATAGGCCTACTAAAACATGCTAATAGAAAAATATGTCAATAGTTTTCTGGATATTGAAAACAAAAACTTTGCTTTCAAACCGCTGTCAACATTTTTTAAATTTTATTGGTTCCATGAGATTTTTTAATGACCAAAAGATTCAAAAGAATTTCATACTTTTAGTTATTTTGTAATACTATTTTCAAAAATATAACTAGAATACACATTTTCCATTGTAACCTTATTTGGATTTTATTGAGCTTTTAAATTGGCTATTTTTTATTTTAGTAAATAATAAATTCATTGATTATAACTAATTAATGTATAAAGCGGAGTTAAACCATACAATGTTACATATAATATAAGAAATTCGTATAAAGATAAATTCAATTACTATAGGCCTACCAAAACATGCTAATGGAAAATATGTCAGTTTGGATATTGCCTATTGGAAACAAAAAATTCACTTTCAAACCTCTGTCAACGTTATCTCAATTCTATTGGTTGCATGAGGTTGTTTAATGACAAAAAGATTTAAAAAATATTTCATACTTTTAATTATTTTACAATATTATTTCAACAAAATAACTAGAAAACACATTTTCCATTGTAACCTTATTTGGTATTGAGTTTTTAAATTGGATATTTTTTTTTATCTAAGTAAATAATGAAATCATTAATTATAACTAATTAATGCGAGTTAAACCATACATTATATTTACATATAATATAAAGTTTTTTGTATGAGAATAAATCCAATTCCTATAGGCTAACCAAAACATACTAATAGAAAAAATGTGGATTGTTTTCATGCAATTGGAAACAAAAAATCTTTGCTTTCAAACCCCTGTCAACAATTTCTCATTTTTTTGAGTTAACTACAACTGAAATAGATTAGCTTACAGTTTGTTAAGCTATTATTGTTGTGATAGATGCAAAAAACAACAATGTATTATGCTAAAATAATACGTAAAAAATAGAATGTTGTAATAGAAAAAAATAGAAACCAGATACTATAACAAACCAATATAGAAAAGCATATTGTAATTTCCAACATATAATCCATAAGGCTTAAATTTGTCATTTTTTTCTTCTATATATATATATATATATATATATATATATATATATATATATATATATATATATATATATATATACTAAATAAGTGTTTGGACTTTTAAAGTGACATTATATCCGCCAATTTGTATATAAGAAAGCCCAAAAGCTAGATACCATTCGTCAAATACTATATGCCTTAAAGGCTTAAACAACAACAATGAAAGTTTTCATTGTATTTGTCTTTCTCATAGTTATCATCAGCCGATCTGTTTTAGGTATTCCTCTAGCCACTAAATTTCAAACTCCAGGTAATTTTAAGCAGTACAACATATCGATCAACGATGAGGGACTTTGGGCACTTGGATTCGAATGTCAATTAGAAAGTGGTGAAGAAGAATTCCATCTGATTAATCCTGGAGATGAATCTATTATTGAGGTTCATGTTGAGGACAATGATGTTACGTCTGTTCCTTGCCTTTTCTATTGGTCTAAAAAGGATAGGAATGTTCATGTCTTTGACCAAAACCTAAAGAAACACTGTGGCGATGATTTGGTTAATACGTGTAAGTGGAAGATATCAAGTGATGCCTTTTATATTTACGATGTGAGTCAGGATCCACCAGATTTTGTAAAAATATATGATTGGTGATTGGTGATTTGGTTTTGCTACTGGTGAAACTATAAATGATATGTAATTAATTTGTTAAATACATGTGGGCGAATTGTATAAGTAATGTGCATCAAGTAATGTTTATATAATCTATCAAAACTGAAATGGGTTTGTTATTATATATTGCTCCATTTAAAAGCTACACATGTTTATGTGATATAGTTTATCCTTTTTGTGAATTCACTTTGTTTACCCGAAAACTTCTTTTACATTTGTTCTTACTGCTCTTCGATTATGGTTTGTTTATGCAGATTGGTTTTCATGTTGTTCTCCTACTTTCCTATACTGATTAATTTCTCAATTACAAATAAAATCACTATTGATTTTATCCAATTTGGTCTCATCTGATTCAGGTATGGACTACATATCAATTGTTTAATTTTTTTTTAACTTATCATTGTTCTAAATAAAATGACTAATAGATTTCGTGAATGAACGTTTTCTTATTGTCTAACAAGTGTTGGACTAAATTCCTAGAAGATACTATTGACAGACCTAAATTTGGCACGATAAGTATACTGATTGATAGAGTCAAGATGCTAAATGATATGAATGTTGAAGTCGGGAGACTAAATTGACAAGGTAATTTTTATGTTTCATTATGTTACATTAGTATTGATGCCTCTATGATAGAGCCTAATGTTTGCACTTGCAAAATGTAAATAAAAAAAAATTTATATTGTTGGATATCATAATAGGTAAAACCATGAATTCTTTTGTTATAACCATTCAAAATGTTTGTACATAGAATTGGTGATAGAATGTAATTGAATGAGAAAAGTTCTTTTTTCTGTTTGATGGGATGGAATAGATGTTATTCTTTATTCCATCATTGAATTGAATGATAAATTTCAATACCATATGTTTTTATTTATTTGATTTTGTAATGAGAGCAACATTTTTATAAAGTCACGTATTTTAGTTATGTTCCAATATTATTTTCAAAAAAGTAACTACAAAGCATATTTTCCATTGTAACCTTATTTAGATTTTGTTGAAGTTTTTATCTAGTTAATTTTTTTTATCTTTGTAAATAAAAATTCAACGATTATAACTAAGTAATGTATAATGCGGAGTTAAACCATACAATATTACATATAATATGAGAAATCCGTATAAGAATAAATCTAATTACTATATGCCTATCAAAACATACTAATAGACAATAGTCGATAATTTTCTGGAAATTTAAAACAAAAAACTCCACTTTAAAATCTCTATCAATATTTTCTCAATTCTATTGGTTGCATGATATTTTTTGATGACAAAAAGATTAAACAATATTTCATATTTTTAACTATTTTAATATATATATATATATATATATATATATATATATATATATATATATATATATATATAGAGGTAGGTTTAGGTATTTAAACTAATTATTGTGTTATTGTATACACCAATCAGATTTTAGATAAATCAAATTATTTAATAAATAATATAAGGGTATTATAGTAATCTTATTATTAGTTAATTATGGTAAAATAGATATATAATTGGATATTAGATGTATTCCTAGTAAGTCTCAAGAAGTGGCATCAAGATTCAAAACCCTAAATTGAAGCCAATATCGTTCCTGATCCACCGTTTTTATGGATCTCAAGCACATCTTCCTCCTCTGGTTAAGGAGGTAACATTTGATTGACCACAGTTACCTAAATCGCGGAATCACCAATGGTTCCCTCTGTATCAGAAAATCAACACAGCCGGCACCATCATGCGCCACTGTTTTGTTCAAGCAACCATCACCCTTTTCTTTCAAAAAAAAATTATGAAGGTATTTTAGTGTTATTCGATTCTAATGTAGTGTTGTTTATTTATGAATTTTTTATTCAGTTACAATCCTTTCGATTCTATTATAAGTTTTGTTTAATTAGTTTCAAATCACATGACAATATGAAGAGAATAGATGTTTATTGTGTTTATATAGTTTTCTGGATTTGTTAATAACAATACTTGAGAGATTGCTTGTGTAATTACCAATCAACTTATTCTATCTCTAAATACCCTCAAAATTACATTATGAGAATAATTTTGAGGAAAAAAATATGCTTACTGTTAATGTCTATTTTAGTTATCCTAAATCAAAAAGTAATTGATAACAGATTTGAATGATGCTTATCATTTTGACTTTTATGATGCCTATTTGGTTTGATTTCTTTTACATATATTTTATATATTTTAGTTAGTATTCGAATCGATGCAAACAACGTTGATTCTTGTAGAAATAAATCATACAAATTCACTAGCTTTAATTTTATATATTTATTTCTACATATATTTTATATATTTTAGTTGGTGTTTCTCCAAATTCACTAGCTTTAATTTTGCTTTATTTCCATTAAATTTGCAGAATATGAACAGCAAAGGATTGAACACATAGGGTTTAGATGTATTTGATTATTAATATTGTATATGATAAGTTTAAAACAGTGTTTTTCCGATGCCGAAACTAGGTACGAGTTAATAGTAAATTTACTTTGGCATTTGGCTTTTAGTCATTCAACTTTGAGATTAGGGTTTTGATCAAACTTTCGACTAGAAACTGTTCATATTATGTATTCATGCTGTGGCACTATTAATGCTCATCGTTTTTACTGTATTTATATTACGGATTCATAGAAAGTTCCCAGTAAGTAAACACACCAAAAGTATAGTCCGAAATTGTGTTATAAATATTTGTTTTTTGATTAGGAATCGTTAGAGGAGGGATTGGAGTAGCATCAAAACATTGAAAGGTTCACGGCCTTGCAAACATGTATGCATCTTATGCCACTAATCTTGCCATAGTCATCGGTTGCTGTTGTGGTAAACAATCAGTATTCACTTCTCCTTTTTGCTGTCAATGATCAACAATTGAGTAAACTACTTTCTAGTAATCCCTTAGTGGTTTGTCTATTTCGTACAATTCCAATTCTATCGGAATGGAAACACGAATTCAAATTCTATCGGAATGAAAACACGAATTCTAATTCTGTTGGAATGGAATATGGATATTTTCTCATTGATTATACATGTTCTACAATTTTTGGTTATTGGTTTTGGTGCAATTAACAAGTCCGCATATTTTTCCATAGGAATATAGTTTTTTATTTATCATTTGCTAATGCGTTATTGGATTCTAAACTACAATTGGATTTGTTTTCACAGAAGTTGATGCTTGAAGAACGGACAACAAAATTGAAAGTGTTTCTTAGCAACATTATTCTTTTAGAATGAATTAGTGTATTTGTTAGATTTTTGATTTTTTTTTCCCGATTTAAAAGTTTTTTTGTTTTATTCTTTTACAATAAATGTAATTCTTAGAAATTGTTACATGTATTCTATAAGAATTAATGTAATTTTTTGTTTTAATTCTTCAATTGATGGTTCGAGAATTTTGTTATTCTACAAGAAATTTTTAAAGTCATGATCAAGAAATATGTTCAAGAATATTTTTATTATTTTATGGTTCAAGAATATTTTTATTTTTGAACATACTCAAACATATTCTGTCAGAATGTCCGAATTAAAAACCTTATAATTCGTAAAATCGGATTTTTAAAATTAATAGAATGTATGATTCCTTAAAATATGCAAATTTCCTTTATTAAATCTATATTAATTGACTAAAATATCATTCTAGTTAAATTAGATGGTATTTTTCAATTATATTTAATTCAATAAATGTATTAATCATTTTCTTAAAATAAGTAAAATTAATTGACCCACATTTATGAATACAATAACACAATAATTATTTTGAATAGAATAATCTAAGCCTATATATATATATATATATATATATATATATATATATATAGAAAACACATGATTTCCATTGTAATCTTATTTGGATTTTATTGAAGTTTTAAATTGGTTATTTTTTTATCTAAGTTTTATTTTTTATTTTTTAACGACAAATCTAACATAATGTTAAACTACTTTTTAAATTCATCTATGTTAATGACGGGACTTGAACTCTCAACTTTAAAAAAAGAACAACTCCGGATACCGTTGGGTTAGAAACCTTTTGATTACAATAAATTCATTGATTATAATTAATTAATGTATAGAACGGAGTTAAACCATATAAAACATACTAATAAAAAATATGTGGATCGTTTTCATGCAATTGGAAAAAAAAATATTCTCTTCCATACCTCTTTCAACATTTTCTCAATTTTATGAGTTAAATACAACTGACAAAAATATACAAAAGCTTCTAGTATGCTAACCTATTATTATTATTGTGTTAAATGCATAAAACAAAAATGATTTTTGATAAGAAAAAACGTAAATAATAGAATGTTGTAATAGGAAAAATGGAAGCCAAATACTATCAAAAACAAATGTAGAAAAGCATATTGCAATTTCTTACATATGATCAAGGAGGCTGAAATTTGTCTTATTTTTTCTTATTTATAGATAAATATATTTTTGTCAGATCTTTAAGCTTCCTGCTTGCTGTACGGTTAGTCAAATTTTTACGCATTGCTCGAGTTCTAGAAATAATAAGGGAAATTGTCATAAAAGCCCTTAAGTTTTCCAAAAAGTGACGGTTTTACCCTTGGATGAGTTTTGGGGGCATTAAAGCCGGATACTTTCATTAAACTTATCAAATATCTCATATAACAAGTTGGACCCTTTGTAGCCGGTTACCATGTGCTGATTTGGCACTTAATTGACATGTCAAACAACGTGGGCCCCAACCCTCTCCCCACATAACCCCTTCCCCACCCCCCTGTTTCTTGCATCCTCTCGCACGGCAATATCCCACGCAAAATATTCTCGCACGCAAAATGCCAACATCTTCTGCAAAATCAAGCTCGAATTCACATTCACGATTCAAGAAGAAGATCGAAGTGAAGTGTTGGTGTGAAGATTTATGCCCAGTGTTTGTCTACCTATCCATTCAGGAGTAACCATGCAGCCAAGTTTGAACTTCCTACCACAAACATGAGTAGCTTCTAAAGTCTTGATTTGAATAGATCTTTCATTGAACATCCATGAGGCATATAGTCTAAAAAGGGCAACAATTATCCTCATTTCTTTTCCCACATCTTACAACTATTCTTGTACTGTCACACTTCTCAAAGTAGAGTTGATACCCATTGTGGACTGCGTAGTTTTGGATACAAAACTTCAGTTGTGTAACATTCTCAAAAATGTCACCAAGTTTTGGTTCCATTTTGTCCCATCTTGTTTTTGGATCATGTAATATGTACTTGTTTATCACCTGTTCTTGCTCTTCTTCCTCTTCATCACTTTGCAAGTCACCACGATGATACACTTGTGCTCTTACATCATTAGTCAAACTAGAGTTTCTAATATTTTCATCACTTAGTAACACATTAAGAAATGCATCCTTACACTTGTCCAGTGGAGTAATGAACTCTTCGTCTGGTTCATGATCCATGTAGATGCCATGAAGCTCAAAATCCATCTCATTAAGACCAGAGAAAGGCTCGCGTAAACCAAAAAATGGGTCTGTGTTACCTTCGTGTTCTGAATCCCAATCCATCATAACAACCTAAAAAAAACACAAACATATGTTGTCGTTATTCCTTAACCTTTGAAGAACAAAGAACTGTAATAACACAATCTTCAAAGAAATTACACATACCCTGTGAAATCGACTCTCTAATAACCTAATCTTCTTCAAAAACCATAAGCCCTAATTTTGAGATGAATGATATCGACTTTTTGAAGGATTCTGAGAAAGTGTACGTATATGTGCAAAAGGGTGAGATTAGTTGGTGGGTAAACGGACGTAACGGAGTAACGTCCGTTTTGACATGTCAATTAAGTGCCAAATCAGCACATGGTAACCGGCTACAAAGGGTCCAACTTGTTAAATGAGATATTTGATAGGTTTGATGAAAGTATCCGGCTTTAATGCCCCCAAAACTCATCCAAAGGTAAAACCGTCACTTTTTGGAAAACTTAAGGGCTTTTATGACAATTTCCTAAATAATAACTATAAAAAATTGAAGAAATAGTGAAAGAAATATAGAGCTGTAACTTTGATAATTAGTGGATGATGTGAACAAAATGAGCTCCATACCTTGATACATATGTGTTCATTATGGTTTTATTAAATTTGGTTATTACCATGTACATCTTTTGTTTGTTGGTAAATAAATTAGGGTCTACTCACAGTTAAATGTACGTATATAATTGTTTATTAAATTTGTTGTTTGTATTTTCTTGAAACTTTTCCACCTTTAGATGTTGGGTTTAGTGTGAGCACTACTAGAAAACCTGGGGTTTTCTTACGGAAAATAGCTACGGAAAATTTCCGTAGCTAATTAGCTACGAAATTGCTACGGATCAGCTACAGAATGGGATGCCCTAATTTAGTAACGAAATAGCTACGGAATAGCTACGGAATAGCTACAGATGCTACGGAATATGCTTTCCGCTAGAATTCCGTAGCTAATTAGCTACGGATTTGCTACGGATTTTTCTTATTTTTGATTTTTCGGGCACCAAACGCCGTTTTTTTCGCTCCGTTTTTTTCACACCTCTATTATACATGATTATCTATATTTTCACCAATTTATAGCTATTAATATTATTTATAAAGGCGTGTATACATACGGGATCCATTGCTCGCTTAGTGGTTTAACACTATAATGCTTATGAATACGTTCACATACATCTCACAAACTCATATACATCATCATCATCATCATCATCATCATCATCATCACCATCATCATCATCACCATCATCACCACCATCACAACCATCATCATCATCATCATCACCATCACCACCACCACCATCATCATCATGATCATCATGATGATGATCATCATCATCACCACAACCACCAACACCATCATCACCGTCATCACCATCGCTATCACCGTCATCACCATCACCATCACCATCATCACCATCACCATCACCATCGCCATCGCCATCGCCATCGCCATCGCCATCGCCATCCCCACCACCACCACCACCACCATCACCATAACCATCACTATCACACCATCATCATCACCATCACACCATGACCATCATCATCACCATCACTATCACCATCACCATCACCGTCACCGTCACCACCACCACCACCACCACCATCACCATCACCATCACCATAACCACCACCATCACCATCACCATCACACCATCACCATCATCATCACCATCACACCATCACCATCATCATCATTATCACGAACACCATCACCATCACCACCACCACCACCACCACCATCACCATAACCACCACCATCACCATCACCATCACCATCACCATTACCATCACCATCACCATCACACCATCACCACCATCATTACCATCACACCACCATCACCATCATCATCACCATCACCATCACCACCACCACCACCCCACCACCATAATTATTATTATAATAATAATAATAAAACGGAAGTGTAAGTGTTCAAAAAGGATAATAGACAATGTTAGTATGGATGTGGCATTCCCAGCCTGATGGACATTAGTATGGTTATATTCGTGGATGAGCCGAGTTCGATTCCTACTGCCCTCTTTTTTTTTCTTTTTTTTTTTCGCCATCTCAGTTTAGGGTTTCACATCTTTTTTTGTCCGCCTCCATTTTAGCGGGCTTGAAAATGAGGCGGCCTTGAAATGTTTAATCTTTCGCTTCTCCTTTCCTTCATACGTTTCGTTTTCCCTATTCTCTTTCATTCGCACCTCCGGCTCACACCACCTCCGACTCACACCCTCTCCTTCTATCCTCTCTTCTTCATTTTCCAGCCGATGAACCGCCGGACTTACATCTTTCTGTCGCCGCTGACAATGGTGTACATCAAGTTCGCTGTCATCTTTGTAGGAGTTACTTCTTTCCGCTGCCGCCGGTGTTACTTGTCGTCGCCGTCATCGAGTTCGCTATTGTCATCACCGATTTGTCGTCGCCATCATTTGTTTCCCGTCGCCATCACCTGCTTGCCGTCGCCGTCATCTGCTTGATGACTCATCTATGTTTCAAGTAAGCTTTTTTTCTTTTGGTTTAATTCGACTTACGTTTTATTTTTGGGTTAGGATTAATTTTCAGTTTTTGTAACTTGCTTATGATTATTGGTTATAGAATAGAACAACGTTTTTGTAACTTGCTTTTTGATTATTTGTTTTGATTTAGGGTTTATTTTGATTTTGGTTTCAATATGATAAAATGGTTTATGTGATTTACAAACTTTGTTGAAAGTAGATTGTCAAAATGGTTATAAGATAATTAATTTCAAAGGGTTTTGACAATCTAAGCAATGGTTCTTCTTAAAAACAGGTTTGGCTATGAAAAAAATGAATCTATTTGTTGTAATAATAAAAGTTTAATATGAACAATATGTTTTAGGATTTAGAGAATGTATAGAAACAACTTTTGTTTAGGGTTTGAAAGTTATTAGGAGGATATAAACAACATTTAGTCACTTTGTTTAGGATATATAAACAACATTAGGTAATTTCCAAAGGCTTAAGAGTTTAAATTTTCTAATTCATTTATGTGTTTTCACCCTTTGCAAGCTGTTTAATGCAATAAAAAATGTAAATGTTTGCTTCAAAGAATCTTTTTTCTATATCATTAGGATTTAAAAGTGCTTGAAGAGACTAAAAGTTTAAGATTTTTTTTTTCTTCTTCTGTGTGCAGGGGCGTAATATGGCTTGGAATTCCTCTTTACAAATGCTTTCGATTTTCAAGAAAATACAAGTTCAAAAGACATTAGGTATGTTTGGTAGTCTTGGAAGGAAATGTGTTTTTATTTTTGAGCTACTTAAATGAAGATACACATGTTTATTATAATATCCTATTTTCATCTTGTCTTATTTAGTGTGTTGTACTTTAAAAAATGTTCCCAATTATTGCTATAATAAACAAATAATGAAAGTACATTGCTATATTTGTATTTTTGTTTTGTGATCATTGATTATGATGTATTTTGTGACCATCACCACCATCACCATCACCATCACCATCACCATCACGATCACCATTACCATCACCATCACCATAACCATCATTATCACCACCATCACCATCACCATCACCACCATCACCATCACCACAATCACCATCACCATCACCATCACCATCATCATCACCACCATCACCATCACCCCTATCACCACCACCACCATCATATCCGCATCGTCATCATTTATGCATCAGTTTGTTGTTGTTTATATTTTGTTTTAAGTTTAATAAGGATTACACTTAAATAGGGGAGGTTTGTTGGTGATTTTATATCATCAATATTATTTAAGTGTAATATGATTAAAATTGTTGACCAAAAGTGATCTTGTTGAATATTGAACAAGTTAGGATGTTGTAGGAGTGCACACTTTTTCAAGTTTTTCAAGATTTAAAGTACATTGTTATTTAGGGGATAAGTCCCTAAACGAACGGGGGTCTGGGGGCAGGGCCCCTGGGAGCGGGGTCCCAGGGGCGGCAGTCCCTGGCGGGGTCCAAGGGGCAGAGCCCCTGGCTGGGATCGAATTTTAGAAAGTTGACAATTTCTAAAAAGTTAAATATTCGTGTCTTAAATATGTAAGAAAATTTATCAAAAAAAAATTAAGACTCGAATAATAATAATAATAATAATAATAATAATAATAATAATAATAATAAAAAAGAAGTGTATATATTTAATTATAGGCCATATGAACATGGATGTGGCATTCCCACTCTTTTTTCCCTCACACATATTTGGAATCAGTTTTTATGTTGGATCCTCACGAAAAATTCCAATCTCCCCCCAATATGCCTCACAAAATTTTTAATCTCCCCCCAATATACCTATCTATCCCTAATTATCCCGCTTTCCCTTCCCTATGTTATCTTCTTTTTCACGAGACCCTCCATCTTCTGGGTGCCATCTCCCACGTCGATCCCAGAGACCTTCGGCCACCTCCAGCCCTCCGTTCGTCACCGCGTCCGACGCCGATCCCAGAGACCTTCCACCACCTCCGGTGCTCCGTTCGTTACCATCTCCGGCTTTCCCTCTTCGACCGTCGCACACAGAGGTACGTTTGCTTTCTGAAATCGTTTTTTTTTTATGGCTGGCGTCGACGGCTATCTCAAACACTTTGCCCTAATAGCTAAACTCGCTCCATAAAAATCGCATATCCACTCCACATCGCAGCACACCCTCCGACCTCCCATCTTCGGCGTGCCCGTTCGTCATCATCTCCGACTGTCGTTGGTGATGGCTGATAGCGATTTCGGTGTTGTGGAGGCTGGAAAAACACGAAGAAACAACCCAATCGTTATGATTTTCAGCTTGTGAACACAAGATGTGAAGGTAATTTCTATAAATCTAAGTTAACGTCGGTTTCGTTTGGAATTGTTGATTTCATGTTGAAATTGGTTGATAAATCCTAAAATTGTTTATGGATGGAAGCTTTTGAGGACATTAGAAACCTCAATACATGAATCGATTCTAGTTTCTTGAGGGTTGAATGATAGTAACATTGACTTTTCTGTTTTGGTCAAACCTGGATTTAGAGTAAAATAGCATCTAATGGTAATCATGAGCATGATTAAAAGCTTGAAATTTATGTAAAAACACAAATATGTTGCTATTATCTTCATGAACTTATAACTTGTTATTTTTAGAAACTTTGTTGAAAGTAGATTGTCAAAAATTTGTATAAGATGACTAATTTCAAAGGTGTTTGACAACCCAAGCATTGGTTCTTCTTAAAAACAGGTTGGCATGAAAGATTCATGAAATTTCACTCTAGAACTGAAAGAAAACACATTCAGGCAAGTAGGATGCCTGAATGAGAAAAATGTCAAAAGGGATCACACCAAAAAATGGTTTAAAATATGCCTTGAAGTTTTATACATGTTTTGAACACTCTTTGTGTATTATTTAACTATATGACATGGTTTTAAACACATTAATGCATGAAATTGGAGTAAACTGTTAAAATTGGACAAAAAGGGTAAAATTGGCAAACTTGTTTATGAAGCTTCATGGAGCATAAATAATTATTAGAATATAGTTGAAAGATTGTTACAAGGACTAGATGAGCATAGTCATTTTGTTATATGAGAATTGAAGCAATATGCTTAGTTAAAGTCTACTGATAAAGAGAAATTACATTACTAAAATTGTGATTGTCAATATTGAAGGTTCAATGCAAATATCTTTTTATTTCATTATTAATTCCATTTGTTGTGTTTTAGGCGGTTACACTTATGTATACAATTTTTTGTTTTTTCCGTTTTTTAGTTTGTAATTAACTCATGTATTAAATTTGGGATTTTATTATAGATCTTCATCCAAGGGTTTAAGGGCTATAAAAAGTTATACTTCTGTATAGATTTGCTCATGTAAGTGGACATCCATTTGTATGAATTTTTTTTTTATGTAAATTAAGTACTAGTAATATCTTGTACAAAGTAGGATAATGCATTCAAGTGTATTGTATGTGTATGAATTGTATTGGTTTGTATTTAAATTACTTTTATGAAATAAATTGAGTAAATGCAAAGTACAATGCTTTAACCGACAATGTCTATTGTAATGTTTATTAGTTTTGTGGTTGAATAAGAATTTTATTATAAATTTAATGTATTGGGTTTTTTTTGTGCATGTTTAGCAGAAAAAATTTGATATATATATATATATATATATATATATATATATATATATATATATACTAATTTAATGATAGATTTTTGATGGAAATATTCGTCGCTAAATAGGTCCGTAGGTATTCCGTAGGAAAAAAGTCAATTTTAGTCAAATTGACTCCCGTTGGTAATCCGTAGGAAATCCATAGCTATTTATTTCCGTAGCTATTCCGTAGGAAAAAGTCGAACTTGAGTCCCGTTGGTAATCCGTAGGAAATCCGTAGCTGTTTATTTCCGTAGCTATTTCGTAGCTATTATACCTACGGAAAAAGTCGTAGGTAATCCGTCGCAAATCCGTAGGTATTATTTTCCCACGGGCGTTTGTGCTACAGTCCATTTTCCATAGCAATTCCGTAGTTATTACCGTATACCTACGGAATACCTACGGATTGTGTCGTAGCTAAAGCCTTAGTTTTCTAGTAGTGGAGTGAAATATATAACACGTGAAATAAATAAAAGTACGATCTTGTTTCTTACATTTAGTATTTTTTTAAAATTATATAATGTAGGTTCTTGTTTCAAACCCAATTGAAGCTTTTTTCAAAAAAAGTGACAATCGATTTCGATGTGTTTGGCTATATAAATGGCAACAATATTATTACATTTTAATGGAATTGGTGTGATGTTGGGTACTTGTAGTTCATCAAGTATGCAACTCAGCCAAACCAATTCAGAACATACTCTCCTCATAGATCGGTATTCAACTTCGGCTGAAAAAAGAGAAATTGTTTGTTGTTTCTTAGATTTTCATGTTATAGAATTCCCTCTAAAGAGAATAAAGTAACCACTGACTAAATGTCTTGTTAAAGGACATGCAGCCCAATAATAATCACAGAAAGCTTCAACTTGGTATTCTTCATTATTGTTGAAGAATAAGCCTTAATGTATCGTGCCTTTGAGATATTGTAAGACATGAAGAGCAACTTGATAATGATCCTTGGTTGGTGTTTGATTGAATGAACTTAAAAACTGAACTATGAAGGACAAATCTGGTCTAGTATGCAATAGAAAATTTAGCTTTCCAACTAATTGGCTATATATAGAAGAATCTTCTAATATTGCATTTTTGGAAGAGAAAAGAATTTGTAATGGAGCTGAAACTGGCTTTGCATATATTAAGGAATATGTTGCTAAGAGTTCTTTTATGTATTTCTGTTGATGAATCACCATGCCAGTGCTTATATAATTGAACTCCAATCCCAAGAAAAAAAATTAATTTTCCTAGATCTTTGATCTTGAAAGTTGAATCCAAAAACGACTAGAGCTGTTGAATTTCTTCATTATCATCACTAGTGACTAAGATGTCATCAACTTAAACAACAATTGTGACAATATTTTCATTAAGTTTCTTAATGAACAATGAATGATCATTTAATGAATGATTATAACCTTTTTGATGTAGAGCACTCGATAATTTTGCATACGATTGTCTTAGGCATGTTTTAAGAAATAAAGAGACTTCTTTAATCTGCAAACCAATGAAGGAGAATCCACTGGAAATCTTGGAGGTGTCTTCATATAAACTTCTTCATGTAAGTCTCCATGCAATAAAAAGCATTGTTGAAATCTAATTTTTGAATGCCCCATCTTCTTTTGAAAGCAACTGCAACTATACATCTGGTTGTACTGAATTTTACTACTGGGGAAAAAGTCTCATGATAGTCTATTCCAGCTTTTTGTGTGAACCTATACCACCCGAAATCTAGAAGATCAATTGTGGAATAAATCCCCTTTACTAAGGACCAACTCGTCGAGTTAATGGTGGGCAACTCGACGTGTTGGAGGCTTTTGGGACACGTTTTTATGGACCAACTCGGAGAGTTGGTGAAGGAAACTCGATGAGTTGGATGATGATTGAGAAACCCTAATTTTAGGGGTTTCCACCCTATTTAAACACTTTAAGTCCCATGTGTTGGCCTCATTCCCAGCCTTCATAGCTCCTAACCCTAATCTCGAAACCCTAGAGCCTCCTTGAGTGTTGTGAGCTCATTGTGGGTGTGTTTTGGTGTGTTTGAAGCTCATTGAAGGAAGAAAAACTTGGTGCAAGATGGTGGTTCAAGAAGGAGCTCTTAGATTTTGTTTCTCTACTCCATTTCCAGCACATTTAGGGTATAAAGTTCTAACCTTACTTAATTTTGGCTTAGATCTCTTTTTGGGTTAGTTTTTATGCTTTTAGCCATGTTTTCGGTGGTTGATGCGGGGTGTAGGACGTCGCAAGTACTATTCTCTCAGATCTATAGTCTTCATGAGCTCTTATGGCATACAGGTGCCAACTTTAAGGTCTTTAAGGCTTTATGCATTCATTAATTCCTTCTTATGGCTTCTTTTGGGCATTTGAGCTTCTTTTAGTCATGCATGACTGTAAAGTAGGAAACTTTACGTGGCCATTCAACTTTCAGGGACAGATCTACAGTTTGGAGTTATGCCTTTGGTGATTTAATGCTTAAGGATTAAGTCCTTACCCTTTTAAGCCTAGGGTTTGGGTTTTGAACCCATGTTGGTGGTTCTTGGGGGTAAAGTTGGAAACTTTACCCTTCTTGATGAAAGATCTAGTATGCTCAAGAGTCATATTAAAATGATATTGCTAAGTAACATATGATCCTAAGGGTCACACTAACAACAACTTGATACAAATAATTATTTATTAGAAATTGATTTTAATAAATATTCATAAACTCTTATAATAATTGGGAAAATATTTAATTCAAGGAAATATTTATTTTACAATACAAGTAACAAATTATTTCATATGGTATGAATATAATATGTCATGTACATCTTTGTGGACCTAATAAAGCTTTTGTCTTTTAGCAAAAAGACAAAGTTTATATCTTATAAACTTTGAGTTTATAAAATATAAACTCTTTACTTGTCTTTTCTTCTTGGAAACATGAGATGAAGAGAAAAGACATTTGCGTGCATTGGTATAATGCAAAAGAATCAATCCTAGGAAATGTTGAGATTTGAGCATAACATCATTCCTATGGTATACATGCAACCCTAATTGCTTTGGAACTAAGTTTTTCTCTATTGAACATGCAAATACAAACTCCAAAGCAATAACCTTATGACTAGCATACAATTTTCGAAAATCACATATGATTAGGGTTAGAAACTTTACCTTATTTTTTATGTAGCAATAACAAGAATAATCCTTCTTGATCTTGAATTCTGAAAGCTTAGTTCCCCAAGTGTTGCACCTCTAATGGAGTCATAAACACTCAATGCAACAAGATGACTTGGAGAGGGAAGGATTTCGGTTAGGGTTCTCTTAGAAGCTTGTATTGGCCTAAAATCCATACATAGGGGTTCTTTATATAGTTGTGGCTGCTAGGGTTTTCAGGTGGAAACCCTAATACCTTGCTTAGGCAACAAGCAGCCCATAAACTCCTTCCTTAGAGCCCATGGACGAAATCTATAGGGCTTCCTTATAGGATTTCATCCATTCAACTCTATGGAGTCCATCAGCCCAATTATGCAACTATCAATGATTTGCACAACAGCCCCTCTATTATTAATCAGTTCCTTTAATCCTAAAATTAATATCAAATTAATTTCTGATTAATAACATAATAATAATATGATTTCCAAATAATATATTAATCTTGTAATATATTAATAAAATGATTCTGAGTACCAATTTATTATTCATATAATAAATCCTACTCTCTCTCCTCTTGTCATCCTATCAAGTTGCATGAGTGAAGGCAACCCAAAAGGACCACGCTCATAGTCAAATCAAGTACATACCAAATATAGTTATGGTCTTAGACACCTAATCCAACAGGAAGATGTGTTCATGACATAGGGGACAAAGTTGTCTAATGGTTAATAACTCTTGGATCATAATTCCATTATAAATAAGAGGTGAGTGCTCTCATTTTTCTTCATTCCACTCTCCTTGGCCGACAACTCTTTCTTCTTCCCCATCTTCTCTCTAAAGTCTTGAACTTTGAAGATTTTGTTGCTTGCATTCTCTCTTTAAGTCATAATCTTGTTTTGGCTTAAAAGCTTAAGAGTTGTAACTAGCATTACATCAAGTTGTCACATTGTTGGTATCTCAAGGGTTCATCCTCACTCCATCAACTTCCAAGCCTCCCCTAGAGGACTCAAAGTGCTTCAAAGGTTGTTACCACTTCTTTCTTCTATGGTCATATTTTAAATCTTTCCTTTACTTGCAAGATTATCCTTGGTGGGTGATAAAATGTTTATGTTATTTTATAAAACTCAAGTCTTCCGTTTGCCATTATTTGTAGTTTTTGAAACTAGTTTTTTTTTAAATAAAACCCAACAATTGGTATCAGAGTCGCCTTGCAAGTTTGGTTAGATTTTTTGATTTATGGAAATCTTAGTTTTTGGAGAATATGGATAAGTTGTTTTTGTATAAAAACAAGTTCATACATATTTTCTTTGACAACTTTATAATTGTTATTTTATGTGACAAAACTTACATGCATTTTTGTCACTTAAAGTTGTCTTAGAAAAACAAAGGTTGTTTTATGTTTAAATGTATTTTAGAGAAGCATAAACAAGCCTTGGACCATTTGTGTTGTTGTTTGTGTGATTTGGTTAAAAATGGTTTGTAATATTCTTTTATTCTTAAAGTGTGTAATAAAAGTAACTAGTTTTTATTCTTGTTATTTTTATGTAATAGATTAGTTTTATACTAGATTTATTTTATGAAAAAAATGTAACAATATGAAGATGGAGGCCATTTCTTGAAGAACCGTCGAGACCCACGGTTTTATAAAGATTTTATAAAATTTTATAACTTTTATAAAAGGTTTTATAAAATTGCAACAAAGTTGGTTGTCATTGCAAGTGGGAGCTTGAATATCACATGAAGAACAAGTTGTAATATTTGGTCCCCTTGTCCCTT